GGGGGGGGGGGGGGGGGGGGGGGCAGCTGATGGGGAGGGGGGGAGGGGGAGGGGGAGGGAAGCCGATGGTCATAGGTGGTGGAGGGGGGGGCACAGGCCCACCAGGAGGGGGAGCAGGTGGGAAAGACACGTTGCCACTCTGTAGAAGACATTGACAAAAAGAGAGTTAACTCATGTTGCGATACACGGTCAGTATATTGTGAGTCACTGTGTTTCCGTCTGTTCCTCTGCTCTGAGCTCCACCTCCAGCTCCGTCAGGTCGCCCCCGTGTCAGCGTGAGGCGTACGTGTCAGTGTGTGAAGTGTGACTCGACTCACTGTGATGTCACTGATGCGTGACGACAGGTCCAGCACTTGTTCCCTGGCCGTGCGAAGCTCCACCCCCTCACGCTGCAGCTTGTCCTTCATTTTGTTCAGCGTCTTCATCATCTCCTCCTTCTCCTGTGTTTTGGTGTCACATTCGCGCTCCTTCCTCTCCAGTCTGGCCATCAGCTCAGTGTGTTCTGGTGGACAGACAGTCACACACGGACATTTGGACCAGGTATAATACCATGTACCATGTACCATGTACCATGTATTGTTTCGGCCTGGACCTGGAGGAGGTGACGTATGAACAGTACCTTTCCTGAACTTCTCTGCTTGTTCTCGCCATAGTTTCACCTCGTTCTCATTCACCAACCTGTGGAGTGAGACATCGAAGGGTTAGCGCTGGACCGCAGCACGGACCTGAACCGAAGCAAGGGGACAAAAGCTGCTCAACCAGGTCAACCAGGAATTCTTTAGATCATTCCGAAACCCTCCTCAGATTCAAAAACAGTTTCGTTTTTACCTGCTGGATTAACATGATTAATCGTGATTAATGGTGATTAATCACGATTAATCATGTTAATGTTAACCAATCCACCACTCTCTCTTGATTAAATTTTTTTTGTTTTACATCAGACTCATTATTAGCATTGACCAGGTTGAAGCATATATTGGCAAAGCTTTGCAGGAGAGGAGTTAAAATTTCAAAAATCCAGCCAATCTGAATGTTTTTAACTCGTGATTTATTTTTTTATTGGACTTTATTTATGTTCAAATATCTGGCAACTGAAATTGTAACAAAGATTAAAAATCTCCTCAGATTCAAAAACAGTTTCATTTTTTTCCTGGTGGACCAATATAGATTTCACGTGGATTAACATGATTAATCACGATTAATCATGACCAATCCACCGCTCTCTCTTGATTAAACCTTTTTGTTTCGTATCAGATTAGCATTAGCATTAGCATTGACCAGGTTGAAGCATATATTTGTAAAGCTTTGCAGGAGAGGGTTAAAATTTCAAAATGTACTTCATTTTTGTTTTTATATGATTTGATGTTAAAACGTTTGGCAACTGAAAGTGCATCAAACATTGAGCATGAACTGAAAAGTTGTCGTTATACATCAGTGCTGTAGTGAACGCAGGTAAACGGGGGTTAAAGTGTTAGAGTGGAAGAGTTTGAGACGAAGAGCCTGGACACGGAGAACCTGGCGCCGCGAGGGAAGCCGTAGCTGAAGAAGGAAAGAACAGACATCAGAGGGCGCTCCGCTGACGAGTGACATCATGGAAACGTCGTCATCACACCTGCTAGCAGGTGAGGACAGTCTACAGACTACAGTTACATTGTTGGGAAAATTATCAACATCGACTTGACTGTAGTATCGCAGTAGTATCGCAGTATATGGTATCGTTACCACTGTATGGTGACAGGTATCGTATCCACAGATTCTTGCCAACACACACTCCTAGTGTAAATATCTGTGACTGTCGGTCCACCTGCTTTACTCTGCACTGATTGGACGCCTTGGCCACATCATGGCGCCCCCCGTGGCAGACGTGTTTGCTCGCTACGCTTTGAATCTTGAATCTCGGCTTCAAGACCAGAACCAGAACTGTGTCCATGTGAAACTGCAGCTCATTTACAGGAACCTCCAACAAACGGTGAGTTACAGTCGTAACAACGAGGCTACTTTGTTTTGTAGTAAAAAACCCTGAATACCCGCTCTCAGCCCTTTGTGTCATGCAGTACTGTGTACTTCATGGGTGTGTGTCCGTCTCGAATATCTTGGATTCGGTGAGTTCTGGGTCCAAACTTACATTCGAATGATGTTCTTGACGCTGAAGTTCTCCAGAGGAGCCGCGTCCGGATCCTCTCCTTTGTCGTCCTGGAGAACGATCTGCTGCAGGATTCGGTCCAGCAGCTGCCAGTGCTGCAGACTGCCCCCCCCGCGCTTGTCTGGACGTGACGGAGAAACCAGGGAAAAAATGGTTATTTGTTACAAACGGCAGGACTTTGGAGAGACGGCGGCGCGGGCGGACGCACTCACAGGGCATCTGCAGACAGTGCTGGAGAACGGAGAGGAGGTGTGGGTACGAGTCCGTGTGGTTCAACTTCTTCTTGATCAGCTCGAACATGGCACCGGCACTCTTGGTGTCTACATGTGTCTGTGGGGCAGTGAGACGGACGTACACTCAGGTGGGTTCAACGCCCGGCTCTTAACTGCTGCCTCCAGACTCACTGTTGACGTTTGGATTACTGACGATCACTCACCAGATCAAAGCGTTTGGCTAGCTCCGAGTCGTCCTCGTTCCGCACCATCTCAAAGAAGTCCAAATGCCTGAGGAGAGAGAGAAAGGTCAAAGGTCAAAGAATGGGCCGAGCTCCACTGGACTGGACTTTAGGACTGCAGTCATATTAATCATTTATTCATCATCACCATCACCATCACCACCATCATCATCACCATCATCATCACCATCACCATCATCATCATCATCATCATCACCATCATCATCATCATCATC